AGCAAGGATCAATCATTAAAGGTGAGTACAATTATTTCTCATATCACTACAAGATTCAATTATACTCCCTCTTATAGGAATGCATGGATCGGGAGGACTAAGGAAGTTGAACTTGTGTACGGTAATTGGGAGGAATCGTACAAAGAACTTCCAAGATTTTTGGTGGAACTCAAATATTATGCTCCGGGAACTGTTATAATTTTAGAGACACTCCCGACATTTACCCCAGACAGAACTCGTGTGATTGGAAATAGAATATTTCATCGATTGTTCTGGGAGTTTGAACCATGCATCAAGGGTTTTGCATTTTTCAAACCTATTATACAAATTGATGGGACTTGGTTATACGAGAAGTATAAAGGAACATTACTCAATGCAGTGGCACAAGATGGGAACAATAATGTTTTTCTGATTGCCTTCACTCTAGTTGAAGGTGAGACAAGTGGTGCATGGAATTTCTTTCTGAAGAATCTCCGATTACATGTTGCTCCTCAACCCAACCTTTGTTTGATTTTAGACAGACATCCATCGATTGTGAGTGGATACAATAACCCCGATAATGGTTGGCAGGATCCCCCTTCAACACATGTCTATTGCATTAGACATATCACACAAAATTTCATGCTCCATATCAAAGACAAGGCACTTCGAAAGAAAGTTATTAATGCAGGGTATGCCTTAACGGAACCATCATTCCGACACTATCGCAAAGAAATCCCGTTGGCAAACTCAGAAGCATTAAGGTGGATCGATAACATTCCAGTGGAGAAGTAGACTCGGGCATTTGACAATGGTCAACGATGGGGCCACATGACAACAAATTTGGTGGAATCATTGAACTCTATATTCAAAGGCATCAGAAACCTACCAATTACTGCTTTAGTTAGAGCAACATATTTCAGGACGGGGTCATTGTTTGACACAAGAAGTTCAAAATGGAGGGCAGTGTTACAATTAGGGCAGTTGTTCAGTGAATGCACCAAGAAAACATTTAACGAGGAGGCTGCGAAAGAAAACACCCATAGTGTCACCGTATTTGACCGTATTAAAGGTTGATTCAGTGTACAAGAGACAATGGATCATAATGAAGGGAGGCTAAGGGGCTATTATCGGGTCGAACTAGATAGAGGTTGGTGTGATTATGGAAAGTTTCAAGCATTTCACATGCCTTGCTCTCATGCCATAACATGGGTCTTAATGAAGGGAGGCCAAGGGGATATTATCGGGTCGAACTATATAGAGGTTGGTGTGATTGCGGAAAGTTTCAAGCATTTCACATGCCTTGCTCTCATGTCATAGCGACATGCTCGCTTGGACCCAATACAACATATATCTCCCGTGTACACAGTAAAGAGCGTTTTATGTGTGTACATCAATATCTTCTCCATGTTGGCAAAGGAGAATTATTGGCCTGCTTATCAAGGGGACATTGTTTGGCACAATGAACAAATGCGACGGAAGAAAAAGGGGCGCCCGAAAAGCACTCGTATTAGAACTGAAATGGATACGGCCAACAAAATGATAAGATTATGCAATATATGTCATCTTCCCGAATACAATCGGAAAAATTATCTGAATATTGGGTCTAGCTTTGCAACCTAACTTTTTTATAGCAAACTTTCCGGAGTGTTTAATTTGTTGTACGCAATATATTTCAATTTAAATTAGGGTTAATATTTCGTGTTCAATTTATCATTCGATTACAACAACTTTCACATAATGACACAAAAAATTACAACACCACAAACTCAGGACAACAATACAACAACATGATAAACAGACAAAACAATTAAACAAATCATAATATCTAAGAGATAAAAATCATCAACACAATATCGTCTGGTCCAAGCATCATCATCATGACATCAGCGTCGCATCTCACCTTTTCCCATGATCGACTTACTCCATTTTCATTCCTCACTGTAATGTGCCTTTCTATTTTTATGATCTGTTCACCTTCAGAAATGTCTCATTCCAACCAGCGAATCAAGTGCCTCTGAAAATGCTCGAACATCTGTGTGTTCCAGAGTTTGATCTTTACCGGAGGCTTTGTCGCCGAAAAAATAACATGCACATCTCTTTTGATCAGTGAAAACTTTGGCAAGGGATTTGAAGACATTTTCTAAGAGTTATGTAACAAATGGTGTGCAAAAATGAAGAGGATGAGTGTTTGCATTTATAGAAAACCATATAACACTGTTAAGGCAAGGAAGATGGCGTCTCCTCTATGAAAATACATGCATGCGCCACAGTGCATGGCTTTACAGAGGAGGACAAGCCATGCAGTGTGACACCTTCTCTTTAAAATGCATGCATGCGCCACAAAGTGGCTACTCCTCTGTGTGGCGAATTTTTGTTTGTTTGAAAAGTGGTCAGTTTGATAAATTTTTTTGAAAACTTGGTTATTTAAATTTTTTTTATAAAAAAAATAATCATTTAAAAAAAATTCTATTATATAAATTGGGCTTAAGTTCTTTCAGTTTAGTGGCCCAAATAAAACCACAAAGTAAAACAAATTGATTATATAATCTATTTTAGAAACTAATAACTCATAATAAAATGCCAAAACATACCAACTATCTTTTCTTTTTTATTTTATTAATAAATGAAATAAGACTAAATTAGTTTCTTTGTCCTTATGACTATTATAATAAATACAAAAATTACACAAATCAAATCTCATATTAAAAAAGAAAATTAAGTTCTAATAATGGTATTGTTGTATCGGTTGTTGCAAATGAATTTTATGTCATAAAACATAAATATAATTTGAATTTGATTTAAAATTATATTTCCATCAAATAAATTTATATATAAATTTTAATTTGATTTAAAATTACATTTTCATCAAATTACATTTTCCATTCTATTTTAAAAGGATTTGTATTATATTTCAGAGTGGAAACAAACCCTCAAGAATCCAAACGCTACACAGTAAGTATTCATCTTCCCATTTGATTTTTATATAATTTCATGATAAAATTAAATAGCACATACTATATATGTTTGTTGATGCTATCATGTATCATACTCTCGTATATCATTTTTATATGAATGTATAAGTGTGATTTCTCATCATTTTATAAAAAAAAAAGTGAAATCATACTTCTATCTGTCATGTGAAAATCCCACAAAAAAAAACAGATCCAAATTTTAGTTTGTAGAACTCCAATCAATAGAAAAATCAAGTAGATAAAATCAAACCATTTATTATTATTTTTCTTCATATTTTTTTCTATATCTAATAGCATTGTACCTGCCAGGCTGCCACATTCAATATGGTCATGCACACGTCAGAAAAACAATAAGTGTTAGGTTAAAATTAGTTAACAATAATAAATTACAAAGTATTGCTCATTAAAGAGTATATGTTCAAAAATTTAGAAATAGAAATTTTGGAATAAAAAATTTAACTTTAAATTTATTAAAAACAGAATACATATCTTTTCAAATGAACGTTTCTATAATTTTTACCATGTTTTTTTAAAAGATGTGTTATTATTTATCAAAATACTTTTTTGATATTTTTTTATAATAATATAATTCACTTTCTATTTTAATAAATAATTAATAAGTATATGTTTTAGGAATAAGATGAAGTAGTATTCAAAATTAATCTAAGTCATTTAAAGTAGTATTCAAAATTAATAGGGTTAAATATGCTTTCCGATCTCTATAAATATTTTAAATTTTATTTTAGTTTTTATTAAAATAATGACAAGTTTTAGTTTCTACAAAATTATTATACACATAGTTTTAGTTCTTGTTGTTAAACTAATGTGTATTTTTGAATGATTATTTTGTAGACATGTTTAGAATGGTGTAAAAAATTCATTAGAAAAAAACAAATTCAAAATTTGATTTCTAAGTCGAGATTTTCATTATTTTTATCAATATCTTTTGAAATTTTAAAAAAATCATATTTAATTCTTCTCATTTTAGAAAATTCTAAAATTTGATTAAAAAAACATTTTATAGTATTCTAAACACATATGGAAAATATTATTCAAAAATTTAAAAGTTTAAAGGTAATTAAACAATATTTAAAATTTTAGAAAATAGCAAGAATTAAAATTGAATGAACAAAAATTTTGTAGAGACTAAAATTTGTCATTTTTTAATCGGAATTAAAAATGAAATTTGAGATATTTATAAGGATCAAAAACATATTTAACCTAAATTAATATATTTATTTTATTTCTTCCAAAAATGTTAGTATTTATTTATTTATTTATTAAGTTTAATTAGTTATTAAATTTAAAATGAATTTTAAAAGAATAGATGTAAATTTTATCTCAAGAATATATATATATATATATATATATATATATATATATATATATATATATATATATATATATATATATATATATATATATATATATATATATATATATATATATATATATATATATATATATATATATATATATATATATATATATAATGATTTTTTTTTAATCATGTGTACCTAACACAAGATAAAGAGATGTTTGTATTAAATAAGAGGAGTTATCATTATTATATTATATTTTATGAAAAATAATAATTAAAAAAAGCCATTTTTAGATATATTTTTCAAAGATGCATGATCATATTTTAGGAAAGAGTTTTTTAATTTTCCAATAATTTTTTTTTCTTCTTAGACCAGAATGGGAGACAAATGTAATTAAAGTCTAACTTCAACCATATATATGATTTGTAATATTCGCATGTACTACTCTTTCTCAACAAAACTAACAATGTCACTATCAAATTTATAAATCATTAATATTTATCACCTACATCCTTGTAACGCTTCCATTTGTTATAAATATTTCTGCCGCTGCCGACATACCATAAATCAATACTTTAAGAATCAACAACAACAAAAATACATACTCTTATTGTTAAGACTCTTTCCACTCTTTTAACACATAGTATAAAATACACATTTGATGTCATTAACCTTATCATTCTCATAATTAATTTTTTTGTAAAATTTTATGCAACAGAAGGAGATGGAGTTCTTGGTAAGCAATGATCGCGTGGATCGACGTGGTAGGGTTGCTGATAAACGAACAACGGGAGGATGGAAGGCTGCTCCTTATATCATAAGTACGAAACACAACATTATGATACGATAGAATCGCAATGTGGATATAATGTTTGTAATGTTTGATGATGTTTTTCTTATTTTAGTGAACGAGGTGATAGAGAGGTTGGCATTCTTTTCCATAGCGGTGAACATGACTCGTTACTTGGTCGTGGAAATGCACCAAACGATTCCGGATTCTGTTACTCATGTCACGGACTGGATTGGAGCTGCCTATGTACTCACTCTTCTCGGAGCCTTTCTAGCCGATGCTTATTTGGGTCGCTTCAAAACCATTATTGTTTTCTCTTCCATCTATGCCGTGGTAACTATATTTTACTCACTAGTCTTTAAAAGAAACGCGGAAGTTAAAATTCATAAAATGTCATCAGAGTCATTGATTGACTGTAACTACAGTCAAGCAATGACGAGAGACTCTGATGAACATAAACTTCAAATAAAAATAATTGATGTTTATTATTTTGTAAATTATGTTACAGGGAATGGTTATGCTGACAATCTCAGCCTCAGTCAACACATTACGCCCACAAAAAGGCCAAAAAGCAAGCCAATACCAAATGTCATTCTTATACGTCGCACTTGGCCTGGTTGCTTTAGGTACGGGAGGAATCAAACCATGTGTATCATCTTTCGGAGCTGATCAATTCGACGAAGGAGATGAAAAAGAAGTTGTGATGAAATATTCATTTTTCAATTGGTTTTACTTCGCCATCAACATGGGTGCACTTCTTGCGATTACAGTATTGGTTTATATACAAGACAGAGTAGGATGGGGTTGGGGTTTCGGAATACCAACCTTTACTACAGTTTTGTCTATAGTTGTTCTAGCTATCGGTATTAAGTATTATCGTTTTCAAAAACCAATGGGAAGCCCTTTTACTAGATTTCTTCAGGTTATTGTAGCTTCTGTAAAGAATCATCAAAGAGGAGTAGTAGTAGAAGATGAAACTCATCTCTATGAGGTCGAGACCACTCATTCCGATATTGTTGGCGCTCGCAAGCTTCCAAGAACTCTACAATACAAGTTAGTTAATACTGAATATCAATTCTAGTTTATATATAGATCAGATACATCAATTATTCAATACTAAAATAAATTATTATTGCAGGTTTTTTGACAAAGCCGCAATTGTAACAGAAAAAGATACAATTAAAGACCGATGGAGTGTATGCACAGTGACACAGGTCGAAGAATTCAAATCATTTGTTAAAATCCTTCCGGTGTGGGCATTTACAATTGCACTTGCAATTTCTTTTGCTCAAATGTCAACCTTTTTCACAAGTCAAGCCAACATCATGAACCGAAAACTAGGTAACTTTGAAATTCCAACAGGTTCTATTCCTGTTTTTGGTGCCATCAACGGCCTCATACTAGTTCCATTCTACGAGCGATGCATAATCCCATTTCTCAAAAGATTCACCGGCCACCACCGGGGAATCACATCGTTACAAAGAATGGGAGTTGGCCTTTTCATCTCAATCATCGCTATGGCTTCAGCTGCATTAATTGAAAACATACGACGCGAACATTACCCGCGACTACATAGCATGAGTGTCTTTTGGTTGGTACCTCAGTTTTTTCTAATGGGTGCTGCAGAGGTTTTTACCTATGTAGGACAGTTAGAGTTTTTCTACGATGAAGCAACGGACGGAACAAAGAGTATTAGTAGTGCGATGTTTTTGTGTACTATTGGGATTGGAAGTTGGTTGAGTACTGCTATAGTTAAGATTGTTATAGCTACATCTGGAGGAGAAGAGAAAGGTTGGTTGAGGAATGATCTTAATAAAAGTAAGTTGGATGGGTTCTATTGGATACTAGCAGTTATCAATGCTATCAATTTGTTGGTTTATTTGATCGTCTCGATTCGTTACAAAGGGAAGGAATCTGCTATTGTGAGAAATGAGATCATGGTTGAACTCGGCAAAGATCAACACATGCAACCATGAAGGAATGGTTGATCTGTTGTGTAAAACTATGTTTCTGTTATGTAAGACTATATTTGTTTGTACCCAATTGAATTAAGAAATTTGATTTTTTTTTATTGCCTATAAACTGCAGAAGTAAAAGAGGAATGTGTTGCCTCAAAAAAGTTTGATTATCACGTTTTAAGTTTGAAGGCTCAGCCACTATGGTCTATGGTGACATACATAACATAAGGAAAATATCTTTTTATTTTATTTTATAGAAACTCCAAAACTTTATAGATAGATTGATAATTGTTGTAAAAACCCATACTAAGAATAAAGTGTAACATGTTTATAGGCAAAAGTCTCGCTGTTGAAATATTGATATAATATTATATATAATTTAAGTTGTGTAATTTAAGTCCAAATTTAATTAAGGTTTGTTAGTCTATTTAGTATACAAGTTAGTTGTATAGAAATAGACTAGTCTGTAATATTATTTGTAACAATTTAATTCAAGTCAATAATATAATTTTTATTTTCTTATTTTTTCTGTATTTTCTCTTCACTAAAAGTGTTTCACGCACTAACAAATTGACATCTAGAGTTCCGGTTAGATTCTTGATCGTGTTTTCAAGAATCACACGTCAGAGATCGTATTTTCAAGATCGTAGTTGCGAAGATGAATGTTAACAATAACATTCCGAATTCTCTTCCAACTCTGAACGGCAAGAAATGGATTCGATGGAGAAAAACTGATGCAATCTCTATTTGAGTTTTATGAAACCCTAGAAGTGATTACTAATGACGTTTCTGTGTTGGCTGCAGATGCAACCGACGCACGGAAAACAACCCACAACGAAGCCAAGAAGAAGGATTATAAGGCTGTGTATTGCATTCAGACGGCGGTCGATGCGGCGAACTTCGACAAGATCTCTCATGCTGAATCGGCGTAGGAGGCATGAGATATTCTTGGCAAGTAGTATGAAAGAGGTGAGAAAGTCAAGATTGTCAAGTTGCATACCTTGCATCGAAAATATGAATTATTGTCGATAGGAGAAGACGAAAAGATTGTAGAGTATGTGTCGAAGGTTCAAAAACACGTCTATCACATGAAGGGTTGTAATGAAATTATAACTGATATGATGATAGTTGAGAAAATAATGTATATGTTGAATACTACTATAGTTAAGATTGTTATAGCTGCAACCGGAGGACAAGAGAAATGATGGTTAAGGAATGATCTTAATAAAAGCAAGTTGGATTGGTTTTATTAGATAATGGCAGTTATCAGTCCTATCAATTTGTTGGCTTATTTGATGGTGGCAATGCGTTACAAAGGGCAAAAACCAGTGATTATGAGAGATGAGAACATGGTTGAACTCAACGAAGATCAACACATGGAACCATGATTACACCTTTTTTCTTGTTAATTTTCTATGTAAAATAACAGTTGGTGTTATTTTGTTTGTGAAAAAATGAAAAATAATAACTCGATGTATCTTCAAATTACATCTTTCTTATGCATCAAACTGATAGATAGTTTTGGGGAATTTCTAGAAATCTTATTTGAAATTATTTTACAACATAAATACTTGTCTGACTACTTTGAGGAACTTATCAAAATAAATGAATTATATAGTACATGTTACCATTTGTTTTCATAAATTGTATGAAATTATAAAGATATCTAGTTTATACTTAGTACTTATTTGGTAATTGTTATGATTTAGTTGATTCTTGATAAACAGGTTAGATACTTTCTAATAGGACTAGACAAAAAGGCAGATCCTTCTTTGGCTCGTAAATACTGAACAACAAAAGTCCTTATTGGGCGAGCATAAATCGGATCACAAGTTACATGGGTGATTCATTTGAATTCAAATGGTTTATCATAAGCGGACTCAGATATGATTTCGAGTCCCAGCAAAATTTACAATTAAGCATAACTCAAAGTATAATGTCTTAATGTTTAGCTTGTGAACTTAATTTGTCACCCCATCGTTTATACTTAACACCCCACATATTATGTGTTTTTATTGCGATATTTTTGTCTAAAGTTATTAAATTTAAAAAATATCAGTATTTATTGGAAATTCTAAAAAAAATGCCAGAAATTTTGAAAAAATACTGGATATTTTGAAATTTCAGATAAAAATCATAATTTTCATGAGTTTTATCGAAAATTTCAAAGCTACATCAGAAATTTTAAAAAAATACCTAAATTTCGATATTTCTAATAAAAACTGTTGCCATTTTTTACCATAAATGTTGAAATGTATGAGTTTTTTATTGAAAATTTCGAAATTTACAGTAAAAACTTTTGAAATTTTTACCAACAATTTTGAAATGTGTGCGTTTTTAATCGGTAATTTGAAATTTTCGATAAGAACTCTGTGTATTTTTTATCAAAATTTCGAAATATGTTTTTACCGGAAATTTCACAAATTTCGATAAAACTCATACAAAAAATTTAAAAATGAACTACCGTAATTTTGGTCTGTTATCGAAAATTTTGAATGAACTATAGAAAGTTTCTTTCGCATTTTTTAACTCAAATTGTTTATTGACATTTTGGGAATTATGAAAATATGTGGGGATGTCAAGTATATAACTGAGGGGGTGACAAGTTAATTTCTCAACATGTTTTAAGTGAGACTTATTCCATTTCCCCCCAAATTTTGGTTCGGAGACATTTTCGGATTCACCTTATACCCATTTGCACTAAATCTATACGTAAATGAATCACACCTTTGTTTTATAAAAAAAGTCCTGAAATACACTTCCGAAATAAATTCGGAAGTATATTTCAGGAAACCATTTCGAAAGTGTTTTTCAGGAAACCTTAAAACAACCTTATATATATATATATATATATATATATATATATATATATATATATATATATATATATATTATATATATATAGTATATATATATATATATATATATATATATATATATATATATATATATATATATATATATATATATATATATATATATATATATATATATATTCAGTTTTCACCACCGGTATAGTCCGGTTCGGGGGTCAGTTCTTGCATCAATTGATTCTAGCCCCTCCCGATCGCAGTTGCGGAGAATCAAACCATAGTCCCCCCTTCTAAGTCCAACGCCAATCACCATTGAACCAACTAACGATTGGTCGTCACTTTATATATTTATAGGCACCGATTGTAACCTCCTTTATCAACCTAACCTTTTACCTCTTTTCATCCTCAGAATGCTCTATTTCATGACCCATGTTTACAAGCAAAATAAAATTTAGTCATAAAAAGTTTGAAAGATGATTTAAAAAAAAAAAACAGAAGTTAAACATGTTAATCTAGTTGCAATATCATTAATCTTCACCCCATAAAGGCTAGGAATTTCCTCTAAAATGAGATCTCTTGAATCTACCACATGATAAACATGTTCACTTTAGAAAAGTCTTATCATACAAAGTTAATGTCACAATTTCAGAATAAGGAGAGGGTGGCTTTAAATGTTTCAGAAAATATACTTTTGGATTTATTCAGAAAGTATATTTCTGGATTATTTTTTTTGATAAAAGCAAGGGTGCGGCTTAGTTACGTATGAATTTGATGTATTTGCGATGCGCATATAGATGTATTTTCAAATTCTAGGGGTAGTTTTGGTTTTTTACTAGGGTGAGAAAGCAATGCTTAGGGTGCCTTAAGAAATTCCATAACAATTATTACCGGTACTTTTGTTAGGGTTTCATTTTATTTGTTTCAATATGAGAATTAAGAGAGAGAGAGAGAGAGAGAGAGAGAGAGAGAGAGAGAGAGAGAGAGAGAGAGAGAGAGAGAGAGAGAGAGAGAGAGAGAGAGAGAGAGAGAGAGAGAGAGAGAGAGAGAGAGAGAGAGAGAGAGAGAGAGAGAGAGAGAGAGAGAGAGAGAGAGAGAGAGAGAGAGAGCTAAGAGAGGAGAAGTGAGAATAACACCACCAAAGTTTCACCACATATGTCCCTTCATCTCTCTATGTCTTCTACCTTTTGGTTGTTAATACTTTGTCTCTCTTCGTCTCTCTATGTCTTTCTACCTTTTGGTTGTTGTATATTATGTTCTCTTTTGCATTAGATCCATGTATTCTCTTTTGCATCAGATCCACCTTATTTTATTTTAAACTCATTGTAACAATTTGTTCCAGTAAAGTTATAAAAATAGGATTATGGTAGCTCGAAGGGGTCTTCACTTTTTTCTTTTGTTGGGCCTGAGTATCTTGGTGTCTGTCTTGAGTGGGGTGTTTCTAAGATTAAATGCTTTGTAGTTAACATTTATTCTAAGTGTAGTTGTAACACCCTAATTTCCCCCCTCATATTTATAATTAAAAATCAGAGTAATTTAAAATAAATACACAATTAGGATGCTACATCCAACAACAATCTGCTCATACATTTTGATATACAACACATACGATAATTAAATAACATATCATGTGTCTAAAATTCAACCTGTTATTAGCAGCGGAAAATACCAGTAATTAAATAGTTTAATTCTTACAAACATAACTATAACAAATGTAGTTATAACAACAATAATCATAAAGAATTATCGAGTATAACAAATTATACAACAACAGAGGTATACATATAGTTTCCTCATTACATAAACAAAACAAACATCGACCCTACAATATTACATATCAGAGCAGACATCAACTCGATAAAAGCATAATGAAGAGCACTCTCTTCTTCCCACATCCACACCTTCACTGCAGATCACCTGCGCATTATCCACTTGGAGGAAACATTCAAACAGAAGGGGTGAGATATCATAGTTATATAAAGTAATGCATAATAATAAGTAAGCATCAAATAATTTCATGCATAATCACTCATTCAACCAATCAAACTTTCACACAATCCAAACACACAAAAACAAAACAAGTATGCAATATAATGAGACTTAACAACTTGACTCAATGCATGTGGTACCAATATGTGAACTTTCAGGTTCATCACTCTGATCCCCACATAGGATTGAAGCTCACCAAAAGATCTCCATCCCAAATTG